TGGTACCTTTTAAATTATCATAGGGAGTTCCACGTAGGGCTTTGATTCTTGCAAACACACCATTACACCTTCAGTTTAAATAGAAGACAATGTTTTTCATTTTCTCCACCTCAAAGGCTCGCCTTCATACAAGTGAAAAACTTCTGTTCCACCCATTTCTGACGGTTTGCCTCTTAAATGCTTTGACTTGCATATTAAAAAGCACAGAAAAGGTACCTAAATAACATGGCCACTGAACAGATTCAAACACATACAGTACACATGTATGAACAATGATCGGCTGAGCCAGAGCTGGCAACCACTTTGTGTAGGAGGCAATTAGGTGCAGTCAGTCGGGGCGGGCAAGAACACAAAAAACCTTTGTGTAAACTTGGCACGTGAGAAACAAGATTCAGTCAGATGAAACCCTCTGTCGTCAAGAAAAGCACGGACGACTTTCAATATTTGCACTTTTCAATACGCTTCACCGTGAAAAGATGTCAAATTGTTTTCAGTCACCAAGGACGAGAACAAAGTTGGCACATGTTGCATCCAAGAAAAAGTTCACTGCCTGGGCCCGTGAACTAATAAACGGGATATGAACCATGTTCATGTTACTTTGAAGTTGATACATTTAAGCTCTCAGTAAGCACCACATTCCAATTATGTTTTCTTTTTTACTGATTACAGCAGATTCCAACTTTGCACAAATACTTGATTGATTAAGAGTGTCCATTTGTGGAATTTCCGTTATCATAATGCCATAATTTTAAAGCAATACAAGGTGATTTAGGCTACCATGCACACTGTCCAAAAAAAAAGCACTTGGGAGAGTCATGACTGAGTAACCCTATTGAAGTACATGTACATTTTTGGGGTTAACAGATCACAAAGCCTTGGGGGATTTGGGCATTTTTCCTGCAACCACACACAAGTTGGACAACAGAGAATTGGCAAAATCTGCCCCTCCCATCTGTAACTGTTACCACAACAAGGCGCAGGTATGGTTCTGAAAAAAGGTATTGCCAACATCTCAACATGGTCATTGTTATATTAATCAATGCAGTTTCCCAGAACCTTAGAAATGCTGAAAAATCTTTTCCGATAAAAGTTAAAACCAAAGCACTCATGTGGGTGTTTACTTTTTGGTACCCAACAAGCCTTTGATAAATGATTTGCACAACCAAAGAATGCGTTTGCATCTGAAGACAGCAGTGTGTGGGTACCAGAAGTTTAGTTGGAGCATCCTGCAGTAACACGCTTCTAAAAACAATCAGTTCTGGGGGTAAATGTATTTGAGCATGACCATGTTGGGAGCAGATATTCAATAGACTGTTATTATGGGTCGGCCATCTTGAATTGAAAGCGAGGTAACACCTCTCATTTTCAGAACCTGAGAGAAACAGTGAAGAAATCAAAGTTTCTAAATATATAAAAATTAAAAATTTGTGAGAAATCAAGTGCAAATACCTTTGGAAAATAAAAATGAGATTTGGAACCCCAAATAGTCTGGCACCATCTTTTTTAACAGATAACATTGAGTATGGTAGATTTGGGTAACAAAATTTTTAAAAATGGTTTCCCCGTGAATAAGATATATTTCCCCTCCAACCCCAACCCTCAAAAAACCACCTCTTATAAGCACATTCCCAGGCGGGCAGTCTCTACAAACGCCAACCGCTGTATCAATGTATTCATGGGGGATTAAAAATGCCTTTAGTTTGAGAGAATTCCAATCTTAATCAACATCACACAACCAGAAAGCATCAATCTTCAATAAGCCGGTCAAGACCATCACTGGTCAAATTGTGAGTCCATTCGCAGGTCCAGGCACAAATAATGAAAATGTGGTGACCATCGGTGACGTTTGGAAATGTCACATTTGATTCAAATGACTTTCTGCTGACCTTGGCTACTCGTTCCCCTTCCCCGTTGACCTCGATGGGGCCAGAGCACAGCAACGGCAGCAGCGCCAGCGGGATGAAGAAGACGATCATGTCCCAGATGCTGGCGTCGTGGTCGATCCAGTACATGAGGTAGTAGAGACTCCACAGGAGTATCAAGATGATCCAGCTGGTAATCCACCGCTGCAAGATGGCCGACGTTGTGTTCAGGCGACACTGAAACGGAACACATGGTTCAGTTAAATTAAGGATCTGCAGGCCGATTACGGGTTGAGTGGAAGAGAATTTGGGTTGACCCTGACTCCCGATGATATTCCTTGCAAGGGAACCTTCCTAAATCCACTGCACAGTAACCTAATGACATTCTTTATAGCAAACTTGTGAGAGGTACATGTACATGCACGTGTAAAGTCCCTTCTCTGCAAGCAAACTAGGACTCTCGCTCATGCTTGGTCATTCTATAGTAACAACAGTCTGGTACTACAGGGATACTACACTGCAAAATCCACACCTCATTCTGAAAACAAATTGTGCTGCATGTATTCTAAGCTTACACATGGGTAATGGGTAATTCCAAAAATTAGGAATCCACTTTTTTTGTGTCCCCCGTACACCTGATATATGATTTTGGAGTTCAGAACACATTTTCTAATTTCCAAGAGTGATGAATTAGTTCAAGCGACTTGCCAAACAAATAGAAATCAATTCCAGTGATAATTCCATGTCAAATAACAAAGTTAAGATGTAACAGGCACACGAAAATGTCACACCCCTGATTTCTGGAATTATCCACATGTGAAACATGCACACCCAGAACTGTAAATTCAAAAGTAGTACATTTTTATGTGTCCGATATGGATAGTTACATGTACATTTTGAACATTCCATTACCATTGGACTGTTTTGCTAAAAAGGCCTGGTTTTGTGACCATTGTGGGTATTCTATTCTTACATCACTGAAGTTTGGCTGAAGATACATGTAGATTTGTTATCTCGCTAGCACTAATGCAACATGGATATTGTCAAGACTTGTACATGCACATGTACAGTGTGGAGGCCGCAGACACAATACTTCATGTGCCTGTTCAACCTGCATTCATAGAATAACAATACATGTATGTACACTGGAAAGACTACCAGCAAAATAGTTAAAAACTTCTTGGATGGTCTTTAAGGATGTGAGCTGGTTCAATTCTTGACATATACATGTACTTTGTGTTCCTGCTTTCCATTTATCCCCTTATCCAATGTGTAAACTGCAGTCAATCCTCCAACAGGTAAAGGGTTGAAGTCTGTTGGGTCATCAAGGAAGGTTCAGGGTCTGCCTTTGATCTTATGCTAATGTCCAATTTCCCTTTCACTTGCAAGAACATATGCGTTTGTACTGCAGAAGTTTCTGACGTCAGCTGCTTATTAGGCCTTGACCAAAGCTTGAAGATTTGGCTATGGTCAATTTGAGTGGTTGGCTGTTTCAGTCCGTGACAATCTATCTCCGAGCAAACTTAGTTATTTATGATGTTAATTCTTGGTGACACTTTTATTTAGTTCATGCGTTACATGTAGTTAATCAGTTGGTTGAGGTGTTTGTTCCCTTATTTGTTTAGTTAATTAATTTTTTGGTCTGCAGACATGTTTTTAAAATTTTGGTCTCTGTACAAAGCTCTTGTTGCTTCAGCATATAATGCCTGCTGCTTCAACAGTCCCTAATGTGGAACAAGCTTGCTCCATTTCAACGACTGAACTACATGCATATTTTATGTTAACAATACATTTGGCCTGAAGACCTTTTTCATATCGAAAGTAACAACTGGTCAGTTCAAAAGCACTATATCGAAGTTTCTTTACACGTACTAGCCTCCAGCTTTCAGGCGCACAGAATTCTCAGTGAACCCCCCCCTCCCCCAATTATTTTGATAATATGTTCATCGTATGATGCCTTGTGTTCTGCACGTCTAGCATTCAGAGGGGTGTAACGCCACATTCAGAGGCACAGACATAACAACATCGCCTATTCATCATTCCAGCTAGCAAAAGTTTCCCACCATCAACAAAAACAGAAAAAAAGAAGTAGCAGCCAGGGGGATTACTATTAGTTCATTCAAATGTCAATAACAGCAGAAGGTCAGCTTCAGCAAATGACAAACTCTTGACTGCCACTGTCCTTCCAGTCTCTATGTCAAGAATTAGGTGACAAAGAGTCTGTGTGCTTTTGTTGACAGCAGTGGGGTACACCCAGTTCCAAATTGTGCCGTCAATGGCTGACTTACACGTACTGTACCTCACTTCATATGAACAAACAGTCCTGAGAGAAGTTTTAGACATAAGTCGAAAGAATAAAGCAGGGTGTTGGATAACTGCACGCATAAATCAAAGGAATTCAATCCAGAGGCAGAAATACGCAAAGCATGAAATTAAAGTGGGATGGCTGCCATTTTCCAACCAGTTCTGGTGTTTGTACATGTATAATCAGTTGGCAGAAGTGGTCAGAGGGAGGCCAGAAAGAAATGTAAAGAAAAAAGTCCCCAAAGCAGAATTCCATTGGTGTTTTGGTTTTGGTGCTGAGGCGAGCATTTTTTATAAGTTGGTGCTCAGATTTTTTTAAAGGCAAACTTTGGAGGAAGATGGAAAAAAGAAACAAAACAGTATTTCTATGATCTTAAACACAAATAAGGGTCTTGAAGTCGGAGGGAAAATTACCCCCCGAAATGTCAAAAACACAAAAGAAGAAAAAAAGTGGTATCCTTTGTGTTGTGTTAGCCACCGAGGACCGCATCTCACAGAAACTGAAATTGGGGATTTCACTGCCAGTTGTACAGTGGAGCAGAAGAGAATTTTGTTTTATTTTTTAACATTTATATTGGTAAATTGTTGGTCAGCGGATCTGAGGCTTCTCAAAATAAAAGTTTCAAATTTTTTCCAGTTCTGAATCCGGAAGGTTGGCAGATCCGAGCACCAACTAAAAAAAACTCTCGCCTTATGAAATTTATACCATGAGAGTGTGAACTTGAGTGATCTTGTCTTATTAAAAACCTGGTTATGGCGGAACAAAATTGATCATGTTAGTATGTTCTGCCTGACCACTTCTTGGGCACAGTTTCTGGCATGGATTTATGTACATATGAACACTGTACACGTAGCTCTGAAATTCACACCCCAATCGTTTGAAATAATGTGTGTGGCTGTACACAGCCTGTGAAATTTGAGCTGCAGTTTGACGTATTGATTCTTCTATATAAAGATTCTGGCTTCTGCATATCTACAGGTTTTTGCAGATGTCTCTATGAGGAAGCGAAAAAATTGTTTTTAGCACGCTCAAGGACGGGCCCAACAAAAGATTTGCATGAGTTTGCAGGGCTTTGGGTTTTTGTGTAAAACAGGTCATGGGTATAATGGTACAGTTTTTCCCACAGACAGCAGTAACTTTTGCCACCTCCCAAATCACCATGGGCTCCATTCTGGGTCCGAGAATCTTTGGTCAACCCACACTATGTCGGAGATGGAGGACAGTGAAACTGCATCAAGTTGGAGAGTAGGGGGGAACCAAATCATGAAATTGAAGCCAGATACCAAACAAAGCGAGAGAGAAACAAATTCTCTTTCTAATCCTTTTGATCAAAGTCAAGCTGTTACATCTGATGATATGAAAGACAGTCCGGTGGTTTGGGTTTGTAACTTCTGCACATACATGCAGGGTCAGGGGTTCGAATCCAGCCGTTCGTTACGTGTTGCGACTTTGAGCAAGTCACTTTACTCCCCATTGCCTCTCTTCGCCCGGAGATGGGAATGAGTTCCTGTGAGGGGCAGAGATGGTTGTTGTGTTTGATTCACTTCATTGTATTTGGGACTGTATACTCCCCATGGAGCTGAGGTGGTTTTAGGAATGTTGATGGGCTCAGTAAGCAGAGTAGGACACCTTGAATACCAGCGATGGTGGACAAGTGCACTTTATAAATACCATTATCACATCTCCAGCTTCTCTCCATTATTACCACTTCAGTTTTTCACTACTAAAGCGATTGTTGACATGCTTTCCCTCAGTTCGTAAGGTTACTCTCCCTTTTTGTTAATTATTTGACTCAATTTTGCCATTTTGAATTGATGTTATGCTTTGTTTTTCATCTATCTTGTTAAAGGATCCAGGAGATGGATTTTTCTCAGAATCACTCTTTGTGTATCTCTGTACTCTTCTTCCATGTATGAAGTCTGTTTGACATCTTTTTTGAGTTACGTGAACTGAACGGTGCACTTTTTCAAACATTAATTGACCAAGCATTTCTGGACAAGTGAGGGCGCTTTTGCTTTGATGTAAATCAAGGAAGACATGGTTCAGGTGGCATGTTTTCATGTTCAAATTGTAAACCCCAAATTTGCTATCTCGGAACATTTCTGTGAAAAAAGGATTTTTGAAAGATTATTGCCATACACTTACACAGCAATAAATTGCCCAAGAAAATGAAATCTGCCATACCAGTATCAGTGGTTAAAAATTTTCGGTGCACAAATCAGTGCAACATTGAGATTCAGTGCCTTGGATGACATCATAGCTCTGCTCATGAATATGCAGATAGCATTAGCATAAACACCAAAAAAGCATCGAAATATAGGTTAAAATTGAGAAACAAAAATTTAAAGTCGGGTTAATTGAAACCCAAAGATGCAATATCAAGGGTTTTTAGTAAAATTTATAAAAAAATTTCTATTTCCTGTGGTATTTTTGAGATTTGTCCAAGTGCGCCTTATTTGGAAACACTCGGCTGAATTTGTGCCAAATTTCCAGAAACCATCTTTTTTTTTAAATTTTGGACTAAATTTAATGACAATGAAATTGTTCACGACGGTTCAACAGCATGTATTACGAAGGGAACAGAACCATTATTTATAAAACTGAATGAATCTGAAATTTTTCAACAGAGAGGTTTGACAACAATGCATGAGGAAAGTTGAGGGAAACATCGACACTTCAGACAAAATAAAGTGTTCCGCCCAGTCCTTCCCTTCACACCAATACACTCGCACAAGTGGTTGGGGTTACTAGATTCCATAATGGCCTTTTGCCTGGAATTGACAGGAACTGACCACTCTTATGGCTTGTTTTCCCAATCCAGTTTAATGGGAACACAATGACCTCCTCCATATATGCCATGCAGGAATGCGAACTTCAAACTACGGTAGTCACACCTCTACTCTCTCAGAATATCAACAGCCAAGTTGGCTTTCAATGGGGTCTGGTCTTTTCATGTCACAGTCGTGTTTTTCCTACAAGAGGCTGCTAAAATTATACCAGTAGTTGGCTGTCAGGTACCAATAAAGTACTGTGAAATGAAAATAAAACCCTGCACGTGTTTCAAATTAATGGGACAAATGTCCATTCTGAATGAATTTAAGGTAAAATAAAAAAAACAACCAAAAGGTGATATTTCTGCAACCTTTGGCTGCCCATACAAGCTTTGAGCAAAACAGATTGGCCATGTATTCACAGGTGTTTAGTGAACTGGCAAATCATGGCACACGCATTGCAAGCCGGCTATTTTAGGCACCACTTTTGTAGTCGTGAATGCATGTAGAAACAGACAGACCTTGAGCAGGGTCAATCCGTGTTAAATTGTCCGAAAATTTTGAAGTTCAAACCCCATCCTTTCTAAATTGATTCATGCGTGAAACAAGGGGGTAACTGTGCTTTAAAAGCTACGGTCTCGCGTAATGTTTTAGTTCCATTTTCATGATTTAATGACTCGGTTTCCAAAGACACTCTCTGAAAAAAAATATTTACCATTACATGTAATTCCATGCCGATAAAAGTAACAGCACGAAGTCGAAGTCACATGACCCTTAAATGTAACAAAAGTTAGCGCTGGAATGAGGCAGCTCAGTATTTTAAAAAGCAATGGTCTTTCAGGAATGAAGCACATACGCGAGTCAGCGTATGACTGTGCAGCCTGATATAACAGACTATCACACACAGGCATACCCGTAGCTGTTTAAATCGTACTGGGCATGCGCTGTTGGAATGCCAAACTGGTTCACTGCCCAAATGTACAAATCTAGTGATACACCGATTGGAAAATTGCTCTTTGAGTACAACGTGCATAATACAATAGCCATGCAGGCTTCAAGGAGGAAACCTAAAATACATGATGTACTTATTGAGACATTTGGCTGATTACTTGTAAAAGGAAAAAATGTATAACTTACAGTGGTAGTCCAAAATGAGAAGTTATTGCCAACGTACGTTTGTTTAAAGCTCACTGCCTACCAAATGCAAGTTTCTGCATACCAACAGTCAGTTTTACATGTACATGTACAGGTATATGACTCAAATTGCCTTTAAAAGCAGTCGGCATCAACCTGACGTCAACTTTTAACTGGTGAAATTACATCAAACCAAAACTAACGGCCTAAGAACCATATTCAACAACAGCTGGATTGATGTTCATCGGATGGCTAGACAGCATTGTTGACCGTTTGTGACGTCTGACTAGCCTATCAAGGCTGGCTCACTAGTTATCAATGGGTGCACAGACAACAGGGCGCTTTGACAATAAAGTTTTATGACCATGACAGACTGCAGTCCGACAACAGATGCTCACAATTGGCAAGCAGGTTATGCCAGCAATCAAGCGTCCCTTCACTGCCAAGCCAAAGTTCTTACCTGTAGCCTCCAGTATCTATCCAGAATCTCAGCATTTGTCAGGGGTTTCACGGCTGGCGTGTGGGTGAAAGCCGATGTGACGGATTCTCTCTGCCGCCGGCCACCGTCCTGTTCAGGACAAAGAAACAAAACCTTCCACATTACACATACTTGTCCAACTTTCATGTGCCAAAAATCAAAATGTGCTTATTCAAAACCAAACAACATTCTTGATACCAAGACCGACTGACTGCTAGAAATCAGACCAAATTTGGTCCTCTCGTCTTGTCATGTCATCACCCGATACACAACACAATGAAAAGCCATACCAATCATCATTATTCCACCTAAATCTATTTCCAAACTCAAATCTTTATTTCATGTTCAGCTTAGAACTACAAAAATTAATGTACTAGTATTGGTACCTTTTTTTAATGAATGACAAGAATTTTTGGAGAAACTAGGTAAGTTAGTCCTACTTTCATGTTTTCAAATTTGAGGAGAAAAAGAGGCAATTCAGAGTATGTTTCTAGCCCTCTCCTGGGGTTCATGGCCTGGAAATCATCACCTTTAAAACACAAAACAAAAAAGCATAAACAGCAGGAAAAACTTCCCAACTGGAAACTCAAGATGAAGTGAAAAATGAGCTTGCGAAGGAAATTGGTTTAATTTTCCAACAGGAAATGTCAATTTCCCAGCAGAATATTTGTATCCATTATTTTTTTTACAAACACTGTCCTCTGCATTATGGCCAAAGAGCAAACTTATCAACGGAGGTGGTAGCAAGTCAATTATATTAAGTATAAGTAGTCAAGTCAGAGGTCAATTTTTCAGACATAGCCTTGGGCAGACAACACAAAAGTACAAGTCGCAAGCCGAACAAAGTCTTACATTGATTATTTTAAGAATGCAAGGCGTAAATTGAAAGGACTAATTTAAAACTTCAATCGGTTGTACTGAGCAGTTTACTGACTTGCATTGGTAACAAGTCATAATGTGAAAGTCCAAGTCACAAGTCATTTTCTGCAAGTCCAAGACAGTCACAAGGCAAAACCTGATAGTTACAAGTCATGTGTCACAATAGTGACTTGAGTCTGACTCGAGCCTTAAAGTCAAGTGACTCGTGTCTAAAACTCAGCTTATCAACTGTCACATCCTTTACATAGAAAGCTGTAAAATGTTACATTGTCAACTGACTGTGCCCACACAAAGCTGTTTATCGTATAGAGAAAATGACCTTATTATCTAGTTTCATAGAATACAGTAACACAACAAATATATTTGTACATGCCTTCTGAAGCACCGTAATCACTGGGAGCGTGCTTAATTCAAAAAATTTTAAATAATGCTGAGTAGCTGAAATCTGAACACAAGTGATGGTGCTGTATCTAGTCACACACCGGTCT